TATCCTCATAAAAACAAATCTACATCTGAAACATGCGGATATCGTGGAGGCTATCTTACGGGTCCTTTGGTATCTATCCATTTTTAAGGGGAGTTGTCATCTAAAAATGGACTTGAGTTCAGAGTTGGGGCGCCATCTTGCTGAAAGTGCGTCATTATAATAATACTAAGAGAATATCTTTGAGTAATTCTGTAGGCTATTCGTTGTCCCAAAATAAAAAATTATATGGTGGGTTTCTGTCTACCAGTTCCTCGTGTTATGGCGATTAAAAATTGCCGAACTTGAAAAGTAACATTCTTCGGACCATATTACAAGTCTCGTTGATTCGTATTTGTGGCAAAATCGCCAAGATTTGAATGTTGAAATGTTGTTATTCGTATTTGTATTTTTTTTTAATTTTTCCTTCAGTCCATTTTGGTACCTCTACGGCTTGTTTGCGTTGGCGTTGCGTCTATGTATAATACGACCAAAAGTATAGTGCATTTATTGCTTTGACGTTTTACGAGGTTAGCGCCAAAATTTCCCGGCCTGACATAAATTTTAAATATATATCTTAGTAGGCTGCGAAAAAAAAATTGAAGTCTTGCGTGAAATAGTTTTTTATTGACAGCATTTTAAACAAGACGTGTCCAAAAAAATGTCGCCAATAACGCAAATTGAGTATAGAGCAGTCATAAAGTTTTTGACAAAAGAAGGGTTAGCACCTAAAATTATTAAAGAAAGGCTGAATGGTGTGTACGCCCAAAGTTCTCCTTCGTATTCTGTAGTGAAAGAATGGGCAAAACATTTTCGAATGGGGCAGGAGTCCCTTGAAGATGATTCAAGAACTGGTCGACCAGTGGAGGTCATAACAGAAGATATTGTTGCGATTGAAGAAGAGGTGGAGTGGCGTCGTAAGGGTGGGAAGCACCTCCAAGAAAATTCAGAATCTGCCAGTCAACAAAAAAAGTGATTGTCACGATCTTTTGGGATTGTGAAGGAATTCTTTTGATAGATTTTAAAGAAACTAATACCACTGTACCAATGGTAAATATTACGCAACATTATTACATAAATGGCGAGACTGCATACGTGTAAAACGTCGAGGAAAACTGACCAGCGGCGTGCGTCTTTTGCACGATAATGCAACTGTCCATACTGCTGATGTTGCACAAGCTGCCATTTTTGAGTGTGGTTTCCAACAGATAGATCATCCTCCCTGTAGTCCAGATACGGCCCCCAGCGACTATTATTTGTTTGGATATTTGAAAAAGGACTTACGTGGACGGCGGTTTAACGACGAAGTTGAGTTAAAAGAGGCTGTTTTAGCTCATTTTTCGGACAAACCAAAAGATTATATTTTTAAAGGGATTGAGTTGTTAATAAAGAGACGTAATAAGTGTATTAAAGTATTTTACAGTACCTTAACCTCAGACCTTCGCAGGACCGTGGTAAAATCCGTCCCAACAGATGTTTATTCTGCATGAGATTGACCGCAACAAATATTTTTTTGATGATGGTTTGTGTATTTATTCTCTAATAAACATCCCTGAGTGGATTTCCTTAAGCGGCATCTGTATTCTGTGTTTTTTTTGAACGATCGGCCGTTCCGCCATTTTCTAACCTCGCTACGGCGATTTTTATGGGAACGCTTTCGATCGTCGCAAAAACGGCCATTTTTCTCGCGACGCGAATTATAATTTAATAAGACGGGCAACGGTAACTGTCCCGTTGAAAATCTCTTTGTCGAGTTGTTGAACTCGTTGTTTGTAAAAACCGCTTCGACCGACACGGAGAGAAAGTGGTTTTAAGCTCCGGTATTTGCACGAGCGTCTACGTACACCCGAGCAGTTGCGGCGCCTAAGCTTCACGCAGTCATTTTGTGTTTGATTAATTCCCCCGCCCCCGGGTTTGAGCAGTTTAGCATCGTTAGTATACGAGGTGTGTAAGTGTAAGTAAGGCGACTTTTGTAATTGCGCCGGCTTCGATATTTTTACTTTGTTATGTTGGTACACGTGCCCCTAACGAGACGTGTTTTGTGTGTTCGGCGATTTTCTGCTGTCAAAAACAATGGAAAAAAGATTTAAATAAAATTTTGTGTAAAAAATGGATTACGGTGCTGCAAAACGCACATTGTATTTGATGAGTCTACCTTGAGCAAAAAAAAGTTTTTGTGGTACAAGCTGTGGAAGATGTCGATGAAGAACCTCGCTCTGGACGCCCCAGCGCGTCAGTAACCGATGAAAGCGTTGAAGAAGTGAAACAAATGGTATTGAAAAATCATCGAATCACTATTAGAGAAATGGCTAAAGACGTCGGCATCTCTATTGTTTAGTGTACCTGCAAAATTTGTTCCGAAAGTGCTTAATTTTGAACAAAAGGACGTCAGTGATAATCCTGGTATGCTCAAAAGGGTGACGAATCATGGGTATATGGTTATGACGTCGAAACCAAAGCGCAGTCGTCCCAATGGAAGAACCCAGAATCGCCAAGACGGAAAGAAGCAAGTCAAGTTCTATCAAATGGGGGGGGATTATTTTCAAGGGGACAATACTTTTTGATAAAGCTTTCATCTGCGTGGTCTTCTCGGTCATCTTGAAACAGCTTGTACCACTTATAAATATTTTTTTTGCTCGAAGTAGTTTCATCATATGCCGTTGTCAACGTTTCAAGTGTTTTGCACCACTGTATTCCATTTTCTACACAAAATTTTATGCAAAATTCGTTGTTCCTTTTTTTTTTTGACAGCAGAAAACTCGTCTACCGCTTCTGTCTCCCAAAAAAAAGGGAACTTGCCAACTGGCTGAAACTGTGAACATTTGTTAGAGATATGTGCACCAACATAACAAATTACAATTACAAAAGTCACCTTACTTTTTGAACACACCTCGTATATACCAGTGGGTCGCTAATATGATTAATTTGGTTATATAATGAAAATGTAAGAAATAAGAATGAATAATGGCGTCACTTTAATGTATAGGGTGAGTCAAGAGAAAAGTTCATTATCTCATTGGTTTCAGAAGTCATGAGAAAATGGTCCGCCGAGCTAAACGTTTAAATTTGACGCGGAGTGCTTATGGGATATGATACGTGCTTATAGTGCAATTGCCGAAGTTTGTTAATTGGGATTGTTAAGGGTAAAAAGGAAGTTGCTATTATATTTGTAGAAGTCAAATTTGCAAAAACATGTCAACAAATCGTTACGGTTTGTTGTATAAAATGTATTATAAGATTTATAAGTTATAGAATTTGATTATTGACATTTGCATTCATCAAACCGGGATTTTTGGTTAGTTTTGATATTATAATAATGGATTAGGTATCATTTTATTAACGATTAACAAAAAATCTAGGGGCTGTGAGTATTCAGGATTTTTTTTGAGATTTGTTTTTTAAAATAAGTTTAATATAAATCACTGTATTTTTCTGTAAAAATTATTATAAATGTACAGTTTTGGAAAAGGAATAAAATGGGAAGACTCTTAAAAGTAAACACATTTTTATTGCTAGAGTATAGAGTTTATGGCCCAAAATAAATCTTAGCAATTTTTCAAAGAAGCTTCCATAGGCTGCTATTTACAAAAATTCCTTCCGTCGGTTGATGATGAATCGAACGTGCTGACGTATTGCCAATCATCATGTTGGCTTCTTCAGAATGTAACGGAAACTAGGTCGCATTCTGCTCTGTACCTTCTTATATACTGTTTGAGGGGGGTGGAGCCAAAGGAGGGGCATATACATGAGTCGCGGTTAAAAATGTTTGGTTGCTTATAGATTTGTTGTCTTTGGAAGATTGTGGTGAAGTGTACTTTGTGTGTATTAGAGGAACAGCAGAGGTAAGGTGTTTTTATTCTGGGTCCAGTGACTTGGGCCGAGATAGTTTTACAAGAGAGTTGATGACCGATGATTTTTGGGCCGGACGGTCATGTGACAATGCATTAAGGCATCGGTCTGTGTGCGTAGGTTTTCTGTAAACACAATGACCCAATGTTAGGCCTGATGTTCTATTGAAAAGAGTATTTAAGAATCGGAGGTTTTTATTAGTTTCTAATTGAATAGTAAAACGTATGTTTGGGTGTGTAGAGTTTGAATATCTAAGAAAATCTACTAGGGATTCTTTGAAAAATTAACCAGACTTTATGGAGAGACTAAAACTGGTAAGATTACTCTGCACATTGACCTTTTTGTTACTTTGTCGAGGCCATAATGTTATCCCCAATTTTCTTAAAATGTCCCATCATGTCAAAACCTCATTCGCTTATAAAATTCTTCGAAAATCTAGTTTTGCTTGACTTACGTGAATACTGCAATACGTACACACACTGATTAATTTAGCACTTTTCATAATTATATATTTTGAAGGCGAGACTCTCTGCAATTACTAGACTTGCGATGAAAGGATGAGCGTTCTGTCTATACCAGATGCTTGATGAACATTTTTTTCCACTTAAGATATTCCCCGTGCGATATCTAGTACCTCAAAGTTATATTTATACTTTTAGGAGTCACATTTTGTAAATTCGACTTGTTTACATTTTCAATTGAGTTGAAACCTATAAGCTTATAAAAACAAACTGTTCGCGCCGATTTACGAGCGCAAATTCGGGAAAAATTAGCTGGTATCGTGTCTATAGCGCTTAAAGAAAAAAATTATTTACAGAATTATTTAGCATAATATTAACCTTGCACTTGTCGCTAATTTCCAATGCGTTCCACACCCTAAGCCAGCGGCCATATTGGTTGTTGAAAGCCGCAAGGTCTTATGGGTCGAACGTCAGAAAATGCAATCAGAGCTGCCATTGGTTAAAAACGACAGTTCAAATCTCGCGCACGCGCATATCGAACTGACCTCCTCAAAATCTTGTTACATAGTTGCTTCACGAATTCCTGTACCATTAACATGGGCAGGGCCTCTATACGTCCAGTAGCTATATGGAGTGCACGCTTGTCTACCACCTGTGGTAGGAGATTTGTCCCCCTTCCGAAAACCGTACGGCGAAACCGTTGCGACGCGATCCGCTACGTTCGACAGTACCAGTTACCGCGAGGTCCGCCCTGCACGATGCAATGCTAAGCGTACCGCCTCCCGTACCATGTCGTGTTGCGGCAAGAAAAGTGAACGCGAAGGCGGCGACGGGAAAAAATCTGGCGCCCTCGTCTCGTGCCTGCTCAGCTGCTGCGTGTTCTGGTTCATAGTCTGCGCTTCCCTCCTCGCCGCGCTCGTCTTTATCGGTCGTCACATAGAGTACAACAGCGGGACCGGTACTTTCGCCGCGAGACGTCACGGCAAAGCGGCGGTGGGCGTTCCCGACGTCACGCGTCCGACCCGCTACAAGAGACTGTCGAACGATACGCGCCCTCTCGCGTACAATCTGACCCTCGCCCCGCGTTTAGACAGGGGCGACTTCGACGGGTTCGTCAATATCACGGTAGAGGTCGCGAAAGCGCGTGACGATTTCGTGGTCCACGGTAAGAAGCTGACGGTGACGTCGGTGGAGATACGGCGAGGGGATGGGAGGACGTTGCGCGTCGTCAGCGTCACCGAGCACCTCGAGGACGAGGTGCTGGTGGTCGTCGCCGCCGAGAGGATCACCCCCGGGGTGTACCACGTGGCGTTCAAGTTCCGCGGCAGCCTCGTCGACCGGATAACGGGGCTGTATCGGAGCAGTTACAAGGCCGACGGAGTCACGAGGTAGATAATTTCGCGCGGAAGTGTGCAATAATGGCGGACGCGCGTGACCTATTAGCAATTGAAATCGCCGGTGCACGCGTAAATTACCCCCCCCCCCTCCTTTTTATTTAAATATTTCTTTTTACACTTGTTTACGGGGTCTTTTTTTTTTTAAAAAACTTCATTTGAACATATAGCACAATGACGTCCGTAAAACATCCTCGGGATATCTGACTTGACCTCCTAGGGATATACTCCATCAGCTAAGGGACATGCCCCGATGACAATGATGTAACACGCTATATAACATAGGAAACTTTTATATTATTTCAAAGAGTGCCCGGACTGACAAATAAGAATATGATGATTGAATTATTGTGCAAGTCATTATTTTTTAAATGATTTTTCGCGAATTTAGCATCCATGAAAGGAGTGATATGCCTCAAGCATATTTTTCCAAATAACAAAAGTGCAACCGCAGCTAGTGGTCAGTATATTCTACGTATATTCCTTCAAGACATATATTTCCAAGGCTGACAAAAAAATTTGCAGAAAACGGTTACATATTAAATCCTGAAAAGGTATGCCGGAATCATAATGTTTTAAATGAAGAAAATAAGGCAAACACATCCAGTTTCCTTTATTAGCCGAGTATATTAAGAGGCAGGCACTTCTCGGGGATCAATCCACTCAGTTTTGAAAGAAAAACTAAGTGCAGAACAATGCCAAAGGAGGACGCAGTTTTGTTTGGATTTTTTAATTAGACATAATGAGAATAATTTTTATGGACTGATGGGGTACCAATCGATTAATCTATGGTGTGGTGTCATAGATGGGGATATTTTGGGTACGATATTTATAGATCAAAACTTAACTAACCAAATAGAACAATAAATAGAAGATATCAGCGCAGATTATATGACAGCAAGACGGTGCCCCTCCTCACAATTTTGTGCAAGTTAAAAATGTTCTTAACATGGAATATCCCAGGGGTTGGCTATTGAACGGCGGAAATATGGATTGGCCAGCCAATAGCCCCAACTTAACTTTAACGGATTTTTTCTTTTGGAGACACAAAAAATCAAATTCACAGAACTCCTTGTAATAATAGTGTGGAACTTCGGCAAACGATTTCAGAGGCAATCAATCATATACCTCCATTGTTTCTTATTAAATGGCAAAAAGCTCTTATACGCTTCTACAGTGTTATGGTCTGTTCATAGATATAAGAACGTGACCAATTTCTTTGGAATGGGATTATCCAAGGGTGGCCACTAACATACAATGCAACAAGATTATTACCTAAGTTTCTGAATTTAAATTCAGGTAAAATTGTGGTCCGTAATAGAAAATAATTTTATACCTACCTGTGTTTAATATTCTTTGGTTTACTATACTACTTAGTTTTAGTTTATTAGTAATCATTCTTATTTCGTGTGTAATACAGAGTGTGTTGAATCGTGTGCGAATTATGCAAAATATGTGCGAGTGTAGTGTATCTCAGGAGATGCTCCCGCCTAAATGTAGAAAACACTATTCTATTGAGGAAGTTATAAACAATGTTTATTTGACTCTCATTGAACGTGGTGCCAGCAAGCAAGTATCTTTAGAAGAAACGGTCACATTGACTTAAATTCCAACATCAACTCTATGGAAAATTGTGAATAGTCCCATTTCAGCGAGGAAAAAAAGAAGCGATGCTGACATTTTCTCGAGTGTAGATGAACGTGATCAAGATATAATACGGCGTTAAATTTACCAGTTATACGAGGAACAAAGCGAGCCTATATTAAATATCATAATTAGGAGGCTTGGAAAAGATGAAACCTGTGTTAAATGTGCAGAACTACCTTATGGAAGTATATTCAACACATGGGTTTTAGATTTTAAAAAAATTGACAAAAGGCAAGTTTCTAGAAATATCTAGAAAAAAATAGGATTTAGAGAGAACAACAAAGGCCAATTATTTACTTGGATGAAACCTGGTTCGACACTTCTGATACCCCGGAAAAGGGTTGGGTTGACTCAACTGATAAGTGTAAAACAAACGCGCCATCAAAAAGAGGTAAAAGAATAACTATTTTGCATGCTGGAAATGGACTTTCTCTCTCTGCGAAAAATATTAAAGATTCTTCTCTGGATTACCATGAAGACACCACCTCTGATTTATTTTTAAAGTTGGTTTAAAAACAAACTAGTTCCAAACATTCCTCCTAATAGCGTAATTGTAATGGACAATGCAAATTATCACAGTAGACAGTTGACTAAAACCCCTTCCTCATGTGACACAAAAGCAACAATCCAAAACTACATGTATAATAACTACATTTATTTTCACGAATATTATACCAAAAAGCAATTAATTGAGGTTCTACAAAACTTGAACCTACAAAAGGAATACGTCTGTGATAATTATGCAAAAAATCTAGGGCATACAGTTTTAAAATTCTTCCACCTTACCACTGTATATTTAATCCCATTGAACATGTTTGGCACCAACTGAAATCTGCCATTCATCAAACAATGTTTTTCCCCGTGTTAACTCCAATGTCCTCAAACTTATAGAAACCGAAGTTTTTAACATCCCTCCACAAAGCTGGGCAAATTCTGTTAAACATATAGAAAAAGCAGAACAATCGCATATCCATATTGCAAATAATATAGAATAAATAATAATTAGAACAGGTGATGATAGCGATAGTGATACTGACATATTATGTGAATAATTTTAAGTAATTTAAGTAGGTACTAATAATTTGTAATTTTATTTTAGATTTAAACATAAATACATACATAAATTAGTAAATATTGTTTAGTATCTTTCCTAACAAAACCCCAAATAATTAAATTTCATTCTTACAGCTTGCCCGGGTCTTTCCTTAATTCGTATCAGGTAGGCACTTACTTATATCTCTGAACAGACTTTAACTGTTTAAGATGCCCCCATAAGAAAAATCCAAACAATTTGGGGACTTAGGAGGCCATGGTTGAGGTCCGCCGCGACCTACCTATCCATCGTATTCCCGTACTGCAAAACTAAAGTGAACGCTTTAGCTTTTCTGACAAGTAAAGGGTCCAGTTAAGTAATTTCCAACAATTCCAGCCCAAAAAACTTGATGTTTAAAATTTTACAACCGCGTAAGGTTTCATCGGCCCAAATATAGTTATTGTGGAAATGTCTGATTGCATTTCTTGGAAAGTTAGCTTCATCTGTAAATACTATTTACAAAACTTCTGCGTCTCGGTTGTTGCTGAGTCGAACTTGCTTAACTAAGCTCTGAATAGGCCAACAGTATGCTCGGCGAAGATATCATGTTTTTAGTTTGTTTTTGCGAAAGTAAATGTATCTATCTATCAAACTGAGTACCTTACTACCATGTCTTATTTCAACAATATGAAATATAAAAATCATTTGTTTTCACGGCAATCTTAATAATTAGAAATAAATCATTTCTGTCAAAAGAGAGATTTTCCTCATTTTAATTGATAAAACGCAATTTTTAATGGAAAAATTAGTGATAATGTAATGTAACGTAACAATAAATAATATTTCATCTTGATGTTTAAAAGATCCTCCTTTTTTGCGCCTAAAATTGTTTTATTCGTGTTTTAGGATAGGATGAATGTATTGATATGCGGTTTTCAGTAGGTTTTTGGGCCCTTATTTTACTCTCTAATGGCATAAGAAAGTCGTATCGTTGCATTTATTCTTTTTCGCACCATCACTTTTCTTGGAGAAATAGAGTAAACTTCAACAGCTTTAAAATATTAATATTAGAAATTTTTATAGAAACTGTATCGGGGGCTCGAACATAGTTTCCAGCATTCTCTCTAGAACCGTCCGTTGTCGTCGTCCTCACTTTGTCACTCGGTACATAAAAAAATATATATTTTGCCACGTTTTATTGTTTTAATAGCTTACACTCAAACAAAACAACATGTATTTCGTAATTTTGAACCGCAACCAACCGCATAGTTGAAAGGAAAATCTCTTTTGCCACAACGGTACGAAGAAACACAAGTTTATACATTGTAACAGTGTGACCTTGGTATCAATGAAAATTGAAGCGTTTTGCTAAGTTCCCCTTACCTCTAATAAGGCTTGTTGCGATTCATTTAAATTTAAAGGAGCATGACATGTTCAGTTCAATTTTTTTTGAATTTGTTCAATGTACCTCCAGTTTACCTCGGGGCAGAGCACATTCATGTGGTTTGGCCATACCCTCTCGAAGGCTAAATTTCGACTCATCACTAGACAAAATGCTGCTCCGTTCATGTTGACCTCAGCGTTTATGATATCTGGCAATCTGATGTCTGCAAAATCCATATTTTTGAAACGCTGCGTATGTAAATGTACCAACTCTCGTCCTATAGAGCCCACCTATAAAAATTTTATACGTAAATCCTGGAAAAAAAATATTAGGGCCATTTTCGCAGATGTAGATAGTTTTATGATCTATAGTTCATGCCATATTAGGAAAGAATGTATAAGAGCCATTTTGTAGATTGTTTAACGATCTACATGTCTGAGATTCTTTTTTAATAATCTTTACCGTTTTCAAGAAAAATCCAAAAAACCGAAAACTTCTACTTTGTAGATAGAATATAACTGCTTCAACTAGTAGAATCGCGATTTCCTAGGAACTGTTGTTCCTAGGATAAAAAATACAAGGACCTTTGTTGTAGATAATTTTGTGGTCTTCAATTCATGTCTGAGGTTTCTTTAAATAAAATTTGCCGTTTTTGAGAAAAATTGAAAAAACCCAAAACTTCGTGGAATATAGCTTCTTTAACTTTTAGAATTGCGATTTCTTAGAAATGGTTAACCCTAGGAAAGAAAGTATAAGAACCATTGTTGTAGATAATTTAACAATCTACAGTTCACATTTGAGATTTTTTTTAATAACATTTACCATTTTCGAGAAAAATCCAAAAAACCGAAAACTTCTTCTTTTTATATAGAATACAACTGCTTCAACTATAATAATCGCGATTTCTTAGGAATGATTGATCCTAGGATAAAAAATATACGGACCTTTTTTGTGGATAATTTTGTGGTCTGCAATTCATGTCTGAGAAATTTTAAAATAAAATTTGTCGTTTTCGAGAAAAATTAAAAAAACTGAAAAATTGTATATAAAATATAACTCCTTCAAGTTCTAGAATGACGATTGCTTAGGAATGGTAAATCTTGGTAAAAAGTAAAAGCGCCATTTTTGTAGATAATTTAACAATCTACAGTTCATGTCTGAGATTTCCTTTAATAACACTTACCATTTTCGAGAAAAATCCAAAAAACCGAATACTTCTATTTTATATATAGAATATAATTGCTTTAATTATTATAATCTCGATTTCTTAGGAATGGTTGATGCTAGGATAAAAAATATAAGGACCTTTTTTGTATATAATTTTGTGGTCTGCAATTCATGTCTGAGATATTTTTAAAATAAATTTGTTGTTTTCGAGAAAAATTTAAAAAACCCAGAACTCCGTAAAATATTTTCTTAGAAATAACTAAACCCTAGCTTTACCATATACAGTTCTTGTCTGAGATTTTTTAAAAATAAAATTTATCGTTTTCGACTAAAGTTCAAAAAACTGAAAAGCTATATATAGAATATAACAGCTTCAAGTTTTAGAATGACGATGGCTTAGGAATGCTAAAACTTGGGAAAGAAAGTATAAGCGCCATTTTTGTAGATAATTTAATGATCTACGGTTCATGTCTGCGTTTTCCTCTAATAACATTTACCATTTTCGAGAAAAATTCAAAAAACCGAAAACTTCTACTTTATATATAGAATATAACTGCTTCAATTATTAGAATCTTGATTTCTTAGAAATGGTTGATCCTAGGATAAAAAATATACGGACCTTTTTTGTAGATTTTGTGTTCTGCAATTCAAATCTGAGATTTTTTTAAATAAAATTTGTCGTTTCTGAGAAAAATCTAAAAAATCGAAAACTTTGTAAAATATAGCTCCTTTAACTTTTAGAATCGCGAAAGGGTTAACCCTCGGAAAGAAAGTATAAGAGCCATTTTTGTAGATAATTTTCTTATCTACAATTCATGTTTGAGATTTTTTTAATAACATTTGCCGTTTTTGAGAGAAAAAAAAACGCAAACTTCAACTTTTAAAATGACGATTTCTTAAGTATTATAAATCCTATTAAAGAAAGTATAAGGGCAATTTTTGTACCTACAGTTCATGTATGAGATTTTTTGAATGAAACTTGCCATTTTCGAGATAAATCAAAAAATCCGATAACTTCGACGGAATGGTAAATCCTAGGAAAAAAATAATAGGGCCATTTTTGTAGATAATTTTATGCTCTACAATTCATGTCTGGGAAAAAATGCAATGCTCATTTTTGTAGATAATTTGACAATCTACGAATCTTGTCTGAGATTTTTTAAAATAAAAATTACCGTTTTCGGGAAAAATTTAAAAAATTTAGTACTTCGACTCTATATGAATTGTTATTTCTTAGGAATGGTTAATCCTAGAACAAAAAGTATAAGGGCGATTTTTGTAGATAATATTACTATCTACAATTCATATCTGTGGTTGCTATAACTAGAACTTACCGTTTTCGAGAAAAATCCGAAAATTTTGACAATTTTGACTTTTTAAAAACATCGAGGTCTGTCTGTCATTTAAAATGTCTATTTTTTTTGCGTACGTTTTAAATAGTACTGTTGTCTATTTACGCTGAAGGTTGAAACGATTGCTTCAGAAATTTTTTATTCAAATTTCTTGGACCGTCCGTTTCCCTTGCCGGGACACCCGGTATATGTTCCGATTTTTTTTTACACTTTTTATTTACTTCTCTGAATCTGCGTGATAGAAGGTTTCGAGAAGTTTCCTCGAAGTTTCGCAAGTCCGCACATTATATACTTTGTTGTACACAATTTCGTATAACATGTATATTATTTATCGTCATATCAAAAGTAGCTTGCGGTAGATCAAATTTCAGTCAAGCGAAATACCGGGGGACACGCCCGGAAATCATGACGCAACGATTTAAAGTTACTTTGAACCCGCCGCCCGTAAGAAACAGTTTTATTTAGCCTCGTTACTTTTGTTTTCTATAATTACGTTAATGTTTTCTAATTAAATTTATCCAAACAAACCGTGCAAGTGCAGTACGCTTTTGCAGAGTCGGCCGTTCCAGTTTCACGCGGCGTAGATCGTTTCAATACGTTTTACGATCAGTGAAAGCGACGTTATTACGGTTTTAAGGCGCTGGCAGCACGATATCTCGTTTTCGCTGCATTGTTTCAGCCGCGTCGGTTCGTTATCAAGCATGGAACGTAAAATATATCGTCAAAAAAAACTACAGAAAATTAGCCAAGCGGTTCGGCATAAATTAGCTAGGCAGTGCAACATAAGTCTTCGATATTGGTTAGATAAAGCGGCACCGTTAATAGATGATTGTCCTTTTCGAAACAGCATACCCAATGCCAAAGACGTATAGTCCGGTCAAAATAGATATTTGAAATAACAGATAGACCTGCATTTTTAGCATGCAGAAGCTTGAAAAGTTAGGCAAGGTCGAAATTTACTTTTTTTTTAAATTTTTCTCTAAAAAGTTAAATTTTATTTAAAAATATCTCAGACAAGAATCTAATTAACTACAAAAATGGCCCTCATACTTTTTTTTTTAGAATTTAACATTCCCGATAAATAGCGATGTTGATATTCTAGATATAGAGTCGAAGTTTAAGGTTTTTTTGGATTTTTCTTGAAAAGGGTAGATGTTATTAAAAAAATCTCAGACAAGAGCTGTAGATTGTAAAATTATCTTCAAAATTGTCTTTTATACCTTTTGTACTAGAATTAACCATTCCTAAGAAATCGCGATTCTACAAGTGCTTTAATTTATATTTTACATATGAAGTCGAAGGTTTTCGTTTTTTTTGGATTTTTCTCGAAAATCTCAATACATTGCAAAATTATCTACGAAAATGGCCCTTGTAATTTTTTCCTATGGTTTACCATTCCTAGTAAAATCGAAGTTTCCGTTTTTTGGGTTTTTCCCGAAAATGATAAATGTTATTTTAAAAAATTTCAGACAATAACTGTAGATCGCAAAATTATCCACAAAACTGGTAGATAGACATTTTTTCTAGGATTTACCAGCCCCAAGAAATCCTAAAACTCGAAGGAGTTATATTCTACATATAAAATCAAAGTTGTTTTTCTAAATTGTTCTTGTTAATTCTTTTTGCTATCAAAATCAAACGTTAAAATTCCAAAATCGAGAACAAATTGTGTGGAACCTTTTTGCTGATGAAAATCCTTTTCTATTCTGAAACGTAGCAGTCCTTTGAATAGAGTGCGTAGAAAGTACATTGAGGTTGTCATGGAGTGTTGAAATTTTTTAAATATCAGTGCCTCATAACAAGTTGTCTAAGTTGTAATGACGTTATCTTAGTGTTTTGTAGAAGAAAAAAATATAAGCACCATTTTTACAATTTGTGTTCATTCTTTTTTTTTTTATAAAACTTTCAAAAAAAGCTGACTTTCAACACAATGTTTTTATTGTTTGATTACCATTTTCATGGCCAATGGCCAACAATTTTAAGCACTTTTTATTTGCTTCAAGACGCCGAAATTATTTCTAGAACCATGGCCACGTCCAAATTCGAGCCCACCTACGCGAGACAGGCGTTCCCTTGCTTCGATGAGCCCAACATGAAAGCCAAGTACGTCGTTCATCTGCTGAAACCGAAAGCTGACAACTACATCGCCCTCTCGAACTACCCCGTTGACGTAAGTGATCCCCAACACCCCTCAGCACCACGTGACGCTTGTGTTGCAGACCACGGTATCCTACGACACCGACAACGATTTGGTGACCTTCAAGGAGACCGTGTCCATGTCCACCTACCTGACGTGCTTCATAGTTTCCGATTTTAAGTTCACCGAGACCACCTTCAACAACAACGGCACCCCCGTAGCCCTCAGGGTCTACGCGAGCCCGGGAAACTTAAACAAAACCACCTACGCGGGAGAAGTAGCCAAAAAAGTCATCGAATTCTACGTCGATTACTTCGGGATATCGTATCCCTTGCCAAAATTAGGTACTACCCACGTAAAAACCCCTTGATAAGACAAGGTTTCTCCAATTTTTACTAAGAAAACTAACAACTAGTAAGAAAAAACATAATAACATATATACTTGATTGATAATCCCTGCCACCGTCAGAAGTTTAATTCGTTATTTTTAGTCTACCGTAATAAAAGTCTTCACAAAAATATCAAAGGTCACACCTGGGACGTCGAGGCAACGTCTCACAATACCTTTTCCTTCTGGTTTCCAGACATGGTAGCCATACCGGACTTCGTGTCCGGAGCTATGGAACACTGGGGTCTGGTGACGTACAGAGAGACGGCTCTGCTCTACACCAACGCCACTCACTCGTCGGCCAACAAGCAGAGGGTGGCTACCGTGATCGCCCACGAGTTAGCCCACAGCTGGTTCGGAAATTTAGTTACCATGGACTGGTGGAACGACCTCTGGTTGAACGAAGGCTTCGCCAGTTACATAGAGTTCAAGGGTACTGCCGCGGCCGAACCAGATTGGGAAATGGTACCGTCGTTGGTTAACTTGTCGGTGATTCGGTTGGTATTCCGTTGCCGTTTCAGATGTCCCAGTTCCAGACCTCGGATCTCCATTCGGTGTTGTCGCTGGACGCTACTCTATCTTCCCATCCCATCGTCGTCAGCGTCACAACTCCTGATGAGATTACAGCTATTTTCGATACGATCTCGTACAATAAGGTGGGTCAGGGTAACGTCATCATTTGGTCACCAAGCGAATGAATTTCCAGGGAGCATCGATCTTGCGGATGCTGGAGGACACAGTGGGCGAGGAAAACTTCCGCAAAGGTGTCACCAACTACTTGAACAAGTACGCTTACGGTAACGCGGTCACGAAGAACTTCCTGGAGGAAATCCAAGCGGTGGTGGGGTCGGGTTTCAATGTCGCGCAGATGATGGACACGTTCACCGCGCAGATGGGGTACCCCGTCGTCGACGTCACGTACGACGCGACCAGCGGCGCTTACGTGTTAACCCAGAAGAGGTTCCTCAAGGACCCAAACGCTACGTACGACATGAGCAACGTCACCTATCAGTGAGCGTTTTGTCGGAGGAGGTGATGAGTGAGGTTCGAGTTCGGTTTTTCGTTTGCAGGTACAAATGGACGATCCCGATCACGTACGTGACCGATATCGGGAAATCCGGGGGCTTGATCCTGTTTCCCTATTCGCAGGAGAGCAGTAAGTATCTCTTACGTAATTTACTTACTTTACATCGGTGGGCGTGGTTTTTCAGTCACCGTGCCCAAACCGACTGGAGCGAGTTGGTTGAAGTTCAACTACGACCAAATCGGGTACTACCGGGTGAACTACGATCCGGCCACGTGGCAGGGCCTCATCGAGATCTACAACCAGTTGGGTTTGATGGACAGGACGCACCTTCTGGAGGAGACCTTCAGTATCGCGGAGGCGGGCCAGTTAAGCTACGACGTTCCGCTCGACTTGACGAAGAAGTTGACGCAGGAGTTGGGCTACGCCCCCTGGAGCGTGGCGTCCTCGAAGCTGCAGGACGTATTGAAGTATTTGAAGGGGTCGAGTCAGGAAGCCTCGTTCAAGGTATTGACGTTTTGACGTCACGAGTGGCAGCTGATGTCGTCGTTTCAGAACTACGTGAAGGGGATCGTATCCAACGCGTACAATAACTTCACGTGGGACGAGAGCTACGAAGACGGTCACGTGACGAGACTTACCAGGGTGGTGGTGCTCACTCTCGCGTGCGCAGTGGAGCACGAGGAGTGCGTGGCGCAGGCGGAGCGGAAGTTTAATGATTGGATTGCTAACCCGTCGCAGGGCTTGTCGCAGGATTTGAGAGGCATCGTCTACAAATACGGCATGTTGAACGCCGACGAGACAACCTGGGGCAGGCTGTTGGATGTCTACGTCGCGGAGACCGACGCCACCGAGAAGCTGAAGCTAGTCAATGGCCTGGCCAGCGTTAAGAACACTACGCTGCTGGAAAAGTGAGGTTACGTTGCGACGCGTGGATCGATAAAATCAGTTTTGGTTGCAGGTTGCTCGAGTTGGCTAAGAACGAGTCGGTGGTCAGAGGTCAGGATTACTTTACTGTCGTGAGATATATCTCGGCCAACTCGTACGGTACCGACTTGGTCTGGGATTGGGTCAGGTAAGTTGTTAATAATAATAGTAATAATAATAATAATAATACATTTATTCTGCAATGTTCAATTTACAATATAATAAAATACCAATAAAGCACATAAATTGAAAAAAGGAGATGAAAGCAATTAAAATTGTTCCAAGTTCAAGTCCCTTGACGTCAAATGGCCTAAAAATAACGTTCAACACTTTTTATTTTGGTCATTCGACATCCAACGACCCAAAAACGATCTAGAGTTGGCACGTTTTCTTCTCTCTCGCAGGGAAAACTGGGCGTATCTCGTGGACAGGTTCACCCTGAACGACAGGTACTTGGGGTCACTCATCCCCGGCATCACGGGGTCGTTTTCGACCCAAGAGAGATTGGCGGAAGTAAGTAGAGCGGGTTTATCAGGTTTCGGAAAGGTTGCCGTGTGGTCCAGGGACGTTGTACGAGCGCGGCCGTTTTCTTTCCAGATGAGAGCGTTTTTTGCGAAATACCCTAGCGCGGGGGCGGGCGAGTCGAACAGGAGGACCGCCCTCGAACGCGTCCGAAATAACATCAGATGGCTCTCTAGATATAGAGGCGCGGTAGAGAGTTGGTTTCGCGGAGTCGTAATGTACTGTATAAAACTTTCGAATTCTCAGGTTAAGTGCTGACACAGCGGAGACGTCGCGTAAGTTTCGGCCATCGTTTTGGTAATTCGGAGCTCTGTACATAAATATAGATGTTTAGTTGGATCCAGGGACATTGTATTAAAGCAGACCCGGCAACGTCGCTGAGGAGTTGTCAGATCTTCTTCGGATATAATGTCTGTGGCGCCACCTGTAGTCAACAGTTCCTCTTCCGCACCGCAGTCTTTCTGTATATCGCTTGATCTTTTGTAGCGGGTGGGTGGGGTGTAGAGGCTAGCTAATGATGGATTGTTTTATACCTCCGTAAGAATTTATTTTATCAAAAAAAATTAATAGTAAAAGGTGCCGAATGCATCGAAAATAGTCGGTATTATCCAGGGTATCTCATAGGTATTTCACAGCACCTTATTTTAAATAGACTTGATGGAGAATGTTTCACGTTGACGTCCTTCAGGTCTCCTCGTACTTAATTTTTTCTTAATAATATCTTAAGATATGTTTGTAATTTTTATTTTTAATCGTTTTTGGTTATTTATAATTGTTTGTATAGTAAACGGAAACGCAAGAATGTGCAAATTTTTTTCAAATACGACACGCTGTATATGATTGTGCTTTCTAGTTGGCATTGATTTTGCCACGTTGTTGGTTTTATTTACTTCAAACGAGTTAAGGGACTCTGGAACTGGCCGTCTAAATCACTCGATTTGAAGCCCTTGGATTTTCCACTCTGTGGTTGTCTAATAGAACCAAGGTATTTAGCGAGTCGTTAAGTAAGTCAAAAAAATATAACGTGTTCTAGTTATTTTTTATATTAAGGCCTGAATTAGTCAAAAATAAAATTATTACCGATCCATTATAAATATTATCCCTCTAACTTTTTTATTTTACAATTTACAAAAAAGTTGTTGGGTTTAATGTGCAGATTTAATATTACACACTCATTTTTATACGAGGTGTACCAAAAAAGCACTTTACATCACAGTTTTTGTTTTTAATTGGAAGACCGGTATATTATTTCATAAAAAGATAGTCCATTTTACGCTGACTTGAAAAATATAGTGTGTTGTAGTTATTTTTTATATTAAGGTCAAAATTAGTCAAAATACATAAGTTGTTGAGTTTAACGTGTAGATTTAATATTTTTATACAAAGTTTGCCACAAAAAACGTCATGTATCAACTTTTTTTATTGCAAACCCTGTATATTATTTCATAATTTTCATATTTTATATTAAGGCCAGAATTAGCCAAAAATAAAATTATTATTAAAGTTTCATGCTAAAGTTGTTAGGTTTAAGTTAAGATTTAATATGACATACTTATTTATACAAGATATGCCAAAAATATCTTACATATTTTTTTTTTAATTTATTGCTTTTATTTCAAAAAAAAAATCATTCTACGATGCCTTCAGAAACGTATCACATGTTATATGATTTTTTATATTAAGACCAACGTCACCTCTTTTATTTAGCTATGATAGTTGTAGCATGTCTTGCATATTATTATTTTTCAAAAATGGAGGAAAGAATAATGTTCAAAGTTCAATTGATAAACAAAAGTCGAAATATCTAAGAAAAGATCTGTTAAAAAAATTCTATAAAATTAACTATTATGGAGATATTAAAGAATTCCGCAATAGTGGGCTACCTTGTATATGTGGGGGCGGCGCTTTGAAGTGGTCCGGCGGTTTCAGATGGAAGCGTTTTTCGGCAAGTATCCGGACGCGGGGGCGGGAGCATCGAACAGGAAAACCGCCATCGAGACGGTCGAGAACAACATCAGGTGGTTGGCCAATTACAAGGAGACGGTGGAAAGTTGGGTTAGAAACGCGACCGTGGGCTGATGTGCTTCGGCGTCGCCATTTCATTTTTATTTTTCCTGTAATTTACTTGTCATTTTCATTAAACAAGTCGTTTTCGTAACTGCAGTGTCATTTCACTTCATCAATACACAATACTAAAGTTTCACTTACATTGTATACAGAAATTGTGGCCTCTTATCGAAGGGTCAACCATCGTAGTGCGCCTCTGGTGGCAGCAGGTAAAATAACTTTCAGTTTATATCAATATTTAAAGCGACTTTGATAATGTTCATTCGAAAAAAGGAAAATAAAATTTTTCAGTTTTTGTCGCATTAAATTCGGTTCCTTATATCAGAAACATTTTTTTTTCCTATCGATCTGAAAATGCTGTGCAGAACTATAAGTAATAATAATAATAATTATGGGGTCTTATGGTGTACGTACTAATTTGCGCACTGCTATTAACCACCTGGTTGCGCTGGTGAAGGACCATTGATTGATTGAATTCTTCAAAAGTGAACTGAACATTTATTGTTGTTACATGACACTCGTACGAATACATATTCTTGCTCCTTACGTATACATACTCATACGCATACTGTTTTTCTCGCCACGGGTGGCGTGATACGCACAACTACCGCGCATGCGCATACAGTCGCACCGTTGCGGCAAATTTAAAGTTCGAGTTTTGAGATCGGACAATAATAATAATAATAAATAGCCCTTATTAAAATACAACAAAAAGAATATAGCATAATAGAGTGGAACACGTGGCGAGGTCTAGCAGCGCTACTACTAAAAAAACTAAGAAATATAAATAAGATCCTTAAATCCACCTAAATTCACAATTTGACAATTTTAAACAAATCAAAGGGGGATAAACGTAAAATAAAAGAAATAAAGAAAAATAGACACTGGAAAAAACAAGTGCAATATTCAAAAACGACTAAAGGAAAATAAAAGAAAAACAATAAGCAAAAAATTAAAATAAATAAATAATAATAAAAAATAATAAATAATAATAAAAAAAACTACCGGCTACTATATGTATTAATTAATGTTGTGAGAATTTAAGGTTAATAATGAAGAGGTATTTAAATCTAATGGATCGTTAAGCAATACATTTGACTGTCTAAGTTTGTTAATCTCCATGGCTTTCGATAAATTTAATTTTCTACTTTTTGTGGCTGTACGTGAAATATCAAAATTGTTGTAAAAAATGTGTTATTCTGTGTTTTAGTGTGTAGCATAATTAGAATTTAGGCTATTGTTTTGAAACGCTCTTTTTTGTTCGTTAATGGGTTTCTTGAAGGATCTTACGAGATATAAATTTTAGGACATGATCCGCATTTCAACCTGTAGACACCTGATTTTTGAGATTTTGGACACTTCGTTTTAATGTTTTTTAAAAATTTTCCTATTGTATTGTTAGTTCTGAAAGCTATTTTTATAGCACATTTTGACAAATGTTTTGAAACTTTTTCACTGGGTTCTCCTATGTATGTAATTATTTTAAATTATTTGTGTTCTGTTTTAGGTTTTCGGGTAAATAGAGTTTACTGTTATTTGGATTTGTTTTTTAGGACTGTGTCCGTGTGTGAAGGTTTATGGTAAATGGAAAAATCTAATTTGTTTTGTGTTTTCAAAATAGTTAAGTCTAAAAAATTAATAGAGTTATCCTGTCCGTTCCAACAAAGCACGCAAAGATATCATCCGCGTATCTATACCACCATAGAAACCTTTTACTTAAAAGATGTTCTTGTCTCATATTTTCCAGATTATCCATAAAAATCTCGGCTAACAAAGGACTAAGTAGGTAATTCAAAATAATTTTGGTCTAAAGATACTATTAAGCAATCTAATAAATCTTGTTTCACCAATGGGTTAACCTGTTTCCGAGTGAGGGTGAAATCCGCTAAACCTATGACATTCATAGGTGGAATACTGAGAAATAAGTTTTGTACATCAAAAGTGTTGTGTTAGAAGGGATTTCGATGTCTTTAATTTTGTTGATTAATTCAAAAGAATTTTTTATTGCAAATTTTAGTTTAAAATCTGTTTGGAACTTTAAAATATTTACTAATTTTGTTGAGAGTTTAACTGCTGGAGCCTTTACATAAGACACAACTAATGGGCATATCTGTTGTTTATGTAATTTAACTAAAGAATATTTCGGCAATTGTAGATTCATAATTATTAATAAATACTTGCCTTTGTAGGAATGTGTTTGATACATTGGAAAAGTTCTGGTTTAAAAAAAATATTGGATCGATAGCTATGACTGTCTTCCCTTTATCTCCACCTGTAAATATTATGTTTTTTTCAGAAGCTTTGTTTTGATAAATAAATAAAAAAGCGGTTCAGCCCCTACTTCATCTCACCAGCTCTTTTAATTCCTTTTTAAATGTAGAAGATGAATAACTAATAATGTCCAGTGGAAGTGAATTGTAAGTTTTAATAGCGTTATACGCGAAAGGGCTCTGAAACTCAGCCGGGAACGTAGAACAGGTTACGGTGACACCTGACCAGTCTATCATAGAGATACCGCGACTTTTCGTACCCAGTAATACACTAACGTAGGCAGATGTACAATGAGAAATTTAAGCAAACTATAGCTGTATCTCAGACTTTCAGTTTTGAAAAAATTTAAGGAAGAAATGTTTTATTGTATTTTTTACGCCGCCCGGGAATTTTAAAGGGTGCTTTAAACGTGAACCAGCGGCGTGCGCGCAGGGCGCGAACTGAAAAAAAAATGACACTTTTAAATCAAAGCTTGATTTAACGTTTCCGTTTAATATGCAGCGCCGCTTGACGCAAAACCATTTGCGAAATAGAACGGACAAGGAAATCAAAACCCGCGTTATGTAAAACCGTTTAATATTCGCAATCATTATAAATAAATAATATCTTAGTCGCTAACTATGATAATCGCAGAGTTGCGGTCGTAATTATTCTAAAAACTATCGTATGAAATAATAAGGCGAAAAATACTCGTTAATTTGGAAACCTATTTACATGAAACGCTTATCACATTTTCCCGCCACACGCGTCGTGATTACTCTCACGTTCTGATGCCGTTGTAAAACTTGATGTCGTTCTTCTCCTCCTCCTTCATGTCCTTGTCGCCCCAGCCCCATATCAGCTCCCCGTCGTCGTGGTGGTGATCTTGTCCCGCCATCTGCGCCACCATACTCTCGATGTTGGGGTAAGTACCGTCCCCCGTCCTCAGCACCCTCTTCTTAACGATCTCCTCCGAAGCGGTCTTCAACTCTGTCGCCCAGCCTATCCTCGCCATCAGGTCCAGAAACGCCGTGGTGAAGTTTAGCCTGTAGTTGCCCAGTTCAGCCGCCTTGTAATCCCAGGGGAACACGTGGTGATAGTTGTGCCAGCCCTCGCCGAAAGCCATGAACGACACGAACCTATTCTCCGTCGGTTTGATCGACCTTGAACGTGATGATAACAAGATTGCTTTCCTGTTTTATAGTTTTTCATTTGCGACTAATAATTTACCCGCGAAAACGGCAATTTTCGGGATATCTTTGTTTTATTTAACCCATAATCCACACACCCTGTACATATTCCAAAAAATGCCAGACATAATAGTTATTATTATTATTGGTATATAAATTTTTGTATTGAAGTAACCAAAACTATTTTCCTAGAACCTTTCACTTATTACGAGTAATTAAAGCGACTTTGGTAATAATATTCCTTCGAAAAAGGAAAAGAAAATGAGAAATGCTTCAAAATATTCAAACTTCATTGATCTTCATTTTTTCAAGTTTTTTTCCGTTTTACTTTCTTTTCCTTTAACAATAATGATTAGTTATAGTTCTCAAAATAAACTATTGCGCATGCACCCCGTATAAAGTGTCTTTCACGTCTGGTAGAAAATTAAAGTTACTTTGATAAATATAAAAATTTGTCCAAATAATGCGCGATTTCCAATGATACTATTTCAAATTTTTCGCGCACCCTGTATGATAGACGAAAGCGGAAACTGTCACTCTCTACAAAGAACGATACTGTTTAAACCAAATTTACGGCAATTTTCGTTAATCTTTGTTTTTTTTAACACATAATCGACACACCACATATTCCAGAAAATGCCAGAAGTAAAAGTTATATCACGTTTCCTGAAATATGAATTTTTTACACAGAGGAAATAGTTTTTGAGAAAATATTCGGTACGCCGTAATAGTGAATGACGTCATCGCGTCTATATTGAGTGCGAGATATAGCGACTGTCACGTGGACTATTTCAAATATCTCGAGAAGCGTGTGAGATAGAAGAAAACCGCAAATTATATATTTTGAACACCCTGTACAATAGGTAAAAACTAATTTTGAAGGCAGTGCGTCAAACCGTTCGAAAGTTATCGCAATTTAATGCCCCGTCTGTCGAGAAACGGAGAACAGACAAATTTTTTTTTTCGACGCTGATAATTTCTGTACCAATGGAGGTCCCGCAGGACCTACCGTTGCCAAGATATAAGCTCTCGAAAAATTCTGCTTACTTGTCATAAGGTTTCATCCCGTAGATGTGAGCGGCACTGTTCACCAACCAAGTTCCGTTCAGGGACACCGTGTACCTCATGACGCATACCACGAAAGACCTCCAGCCGTCTTCGCCCCAGAAGTACCACGGCACGACCGAGGGAAGCAGGAAACACAAAGTTATGATCAACGGGACGTAATACCTAACCGAAACTCCAGATATTTCGTTCATTCCGTCGGTTTAAACCTCTACGCTTACTTTATCTGGAACCTGACCAACGGATCGGCGATTACGTCGCTCATGTCTACCGTTTTGCCCTTTTCTATCACGTCTCGGTGCTTCTTCACCATGAGCCATCCGATGTGCGAGAAAAAGAAGCCTCGCTTAGCGTTGTGAGGATCGGCGTCCGTGTCGGTGAACTTGTGATGCACCCTGTGATCCCTCACCCACTCGTGGATGTCGTTTTGAAGGGCGGCGCTCTGCGCGAGCATCAGGAACAGGCGCAGGGGAAAGTTTGCCTTGTAAGTCCTGTGAGCCCACAGTCTGTGAGCGCCCGCCGTGATGCCGAAGCCAGCGAACATCGTGTACAAATAAGCTACGGTAACGAGAAAAGCTCGGTCAACCACTCGAGTACCATTTGGTCACTTCGAGGAAAGACGGGAAAGGGGTGGTCCGAGATCATGTAAGATGTATAAAACGTCTCCTGGTATTGATGCCGTAGGTAACGAAGGGAAAACTGGATAACGAGAGGGGTTTCCTCCTTTAAAGTGGTATAAACGTGCTCTGCATTGTTGATTGGGTATTGTCACATTGAGGTCCATTTGAATGAATTGATTCAAAGAAGAGGTTGATTACTCTTCTTCTTAGATCTCCATAGTTCTCTTCTGAAGGGCATAAAACTGTCCTGTATTGTTGACCAACGAATTTCTTTAATAAAGTCGATTGGGTAGTGTCAGATTGAAGTTTGTTGAACCAAGAGGTAGTGCTAAGGTCAGATTTGTGCCCATCGATTAAAAAAATGGTGATTTCTTCTTCAAGGTCGTTTGGGTAGTACCAAATTTAATGAATGAAAAAAGATTGGTCAACCAATCGCAACCATTAGTCCAAACATTGCTACATGTGCCGTTTGGTTAGCTGATAGTTAGCTTGGATTCAACCGAGTCGAAGATGGTAAAGAAAAGTAACTGATGTTGCGAAGATAATGATGTCATGATCCAGATATTGCGAATCTAAAGTCGGTTATCGGAAAAAACTAACCAAAACTGTCCTGCATTATTTGTCTTCTGGTCCCGCCTAATAGCGAAAGTTGGCTATAATCATGGCTATCCTGACTTTGTTGACAGCTATTCCAAGCAGGTGATTGCAGGACATTCCAAGCCATTGCCTTAAATTCTTTAGCCAAGCCTTCATTCGCTTGAGTTTATCTCCAAGATGTTTTGCAACATCGTATTTTGTAAGTGTATTTTTCATTGTTGGTTGATTGATGGAAGGTTGGTTACAAGTACCGTTTGGTTAGCTCCTAGTTGGCACATGTCGAGCTTGGCTTGAACAGCAGGCTCTCAAAGGTTCCTCTTCCGAGGACAAACCAGTCTTGAATTGTCCAATGGCATTTGGCTAGCTGCTAGTTACCACATCTCAACCTTGACTTGAATGGAGATTTAGACTAAACGAACATGGACAAGAAAAGCAAAAAGATCAATGTATGACGTTTAAAATTGTCCTATGGTCTTGTGTGCGAAGACGCATTATATGAACCAAATATTGTGAAACTCAAGTAGGTTTCAGGCAAATGTAATTAAACTGGATAATTAAAGTCGGTTTCTTCCTCCTCTAGATATCGATTGTGAGATCTGTTTGAAATCGATTCTTCTTTAATCATTTGTACGGATTCATGTCTCTCAGAGGAAAATAGTGATCGAAAAAGAGGCGGTTTCTGTTTCTTCCAATGACAAACAAGTCTCGAATTGTTATTTAGGTTTTTTGCAACTGCAATGAATGAGAAAAGATTGGCCAACGAATCGCCATTGGGAGTTTATTAATCCAAATGCCATTTGGTTAGCTGCTAGTTAGCACATCTCGAGCTTGACTTGAAAGGAAGATTAGAGTAAACGAAGATAAACAAGAAAAGTAGTTCTTCAGAAAGCCAGCAGTACGAGGTTAATGTTCGGCGTATAAAACTGTCCTTTGGTGTTGTTTACGCAGTCGATGATGTGATATTGTGAAACTCAAGTGACCTACAGGCAAATGGAAAGAATACTGGGAAATGAAAGTCATTTTTCCTCCTTCCACTTTAAAGATGTCCATTTGGTAATATCAGATTGAGGTGTGTTAGGGAATCGGTTACTCATCTCTTCTAAAGTCAGTTTTGCCAGACTCATGCTTCTTACAAGTAAATGGTTGGAAAAAAATGGTCGTTTCTTCTTCACCCAAGTATAAAGCAGTGTCGAATCGTTACAACACGAAGTGCGTTACTTACTAAAGATGATTGTAGTCCAGGACACTTTCGACAAGAGGTACATCCCGTACAGCATAAAGGAATGTAACATGATGAAGATAAAAACGTTCTTCCATACTATCTTCCACCGATACTTCTCGGATTTCGGGACAGATTTGGTCGTTCTGCGTTGGGTGTCGTCTTGGACCGCCTGGACCTTAGGAGCGTCGTCGCCTTTGCGGATGATTTTAGCTTCCGCTAGGAACATGGGTACAGAGCCTAGCGCTGGGGGCGCCATGTCGTTCAACCTGCGACGTAAATTTTCTACAGGGTGTGTCATAAATAATGGGTTTTAAATTTTTCTTAACCTGCACTGAAAGGTTAAGTTTCGTATTGGAACCATATTCAATGAGGTCCTTATAATATATTAAAAGAATATTTTGTCGTGCGAACGATTGTAAGGCCACCATTTTCGCGGTGTAATTATACCAATGGCCGTGAATAATGTAAAAGTCTTTGTTGTTACGTGGAAATAAACCGACTTGTGCTAATATATCGGTACTGTTACAACGCAAATTGTTGTTTATTTAGGTATTTGTCGAATAAAGTTGAAGTCGGACGCTGGACTGTTATTAAAACTATTGATATGGCGTTAGGATTTGGTTTATGTACCAACAAAAGATTAATTGATGAGGGAAGATACAATGTGGACCATGTGAAATGAATATTTTATGTAAACTTCAGTATATGTTTCGAGCAAATGTTTAAATATTTTGAGTTATCAAAATACCTGCACCAGTGTCACGTCGTACTAGAACAAAGGAGGAGGTTGCTTCATTTCTCTTCAGTGGTAACTCCACTACTTCTTGAAAATTCCAATTACTCCATCTCATTCTTATTTTGAATGGCTTTACTTTATTTAAGTTTATTTATCTTTATTGTGCACTCTTTCAGTCTTTGCTCCACCCCAGTATACAAAGAAGCCATTTTAATGGATTTGAGATATTTAACCACCATTTTGAAGACCATTAGGTAGTAGAAGACCTTGCCGTTAAAATTAAAAATATATATACGAGGGTGAGATGAAAAGTTTCCGATCTGGCCAAGAGGTGGCACCACTAGGTCTACTTTTTTCCTTCTAATTGTAAGGTTTTACACCAAAACAAATTAAAGAAGAGATGTTTTCAACATTAGGAGACTCCTCCCCATCATTCAACTATTAAGCAAACCATTAAGAAAATAAGAAACAGTCAAAACACTGGGTTGCAAAAGGGGAACCAACTCCAAAAAAGACATACAAGGTTATGGCTACTGTTTTTTGGGATGCGAAAGGAATTATATACATTGATTACCTTGGAAATATTACGCAGAGTTATGGCAACATTTCAAGCTCGAGGTGCAAACTAAACGATTTCATTTGACGAAGAAAAAAATTTTGATTCGTCACGATCCACGAATTGAAGTTTGAATTGATGCCGCAACCACCTTACTTGCCAGACTTAGCCTCCAGCGACTATTACCTGTTTCCTAACCTCAAAAAATGACTTGATTTAAGAGCAAAGAAGAAGTTATCGACGCTGTAAATCAGTATTTCGAGGAGCTTGACGAATCTACGTTTAGATCTGGTATAACCAAATCAGTCGGTCATGAGAAATATATCAGTGTTGATCGAGATCACGTTGAAAAATAAAGCAAAAAAAAAAACCATCGTTTTTCTTGGTTAGGTCGAAAACTCTCCGTCCCCCCTCGTATAGAATGAAGGTTTCCGAAGGTTTTAATTTATAGTAACCAGCTGCGAACGTATCAACTTGCCTGGTAGATAGAGAGATAGATAGATATTCCCATAAAGCTTTGGGTCTAGTTTCGGATACGAAATTTAATTTTACCAATCATATTAACCTATGTTGAAAATGTATTTATTGTATTTCAAAATCCCGTAACGTCACATTTTAATCACTGCGATGAAATATATGTCACGTGCCTAATATGTTAATATTAATATGATTAAATTCCTTGCTTAAAATAAAGGGTAGTTTTCTTTGTAAAAGTATATTTAACTAGGGGTTTCCAGCCATTTGGTATTAAATTGCTTGTAATTTAATTGATTGTATTATGACACACACGGACCACAGTTAAAATTTTGAATTAAATGAATCTAAGCAATGTTTTGTTTATTATCCGTTAAGTATTGCTTAAGTCATATAACTGTCGAAAATACTAGTTATTAGATTATGCATATTATGTCGAAATTAGTTAAGTAATTAATTAATTAAGTTTTAGAGCATATAAATAAAATTTAGTTCACACTTCGATCACGGTGGCAGCACAGTAAGATTCATTTGTTTCTATCGCAGTTGACCATCTATTTACATCGTGTATTGCGCATGCAATCGCTACTAAAGCGCCCCACTTCAATGTCAATATCAAGTTCACTTTCTATTCGCGTTATTCCATTGTCTATCGCGCCGCATTCGATAATTCGTAATGACTTGTCGAAGTTTCACCGCAAAACGACTCACATTTTAGAGTTTATACTTTATACCGGTTATTTTACGATAGATAGGTTGCGGAGTCGTAAATATTTATCGGACAATCAATTATCTTCGAGGCGTTAAACCGAACCTTTTTTTTAACCGTAAAGTTTCCCATAGAAACGCCGTCTTTCACTAGCAACATTCGTCAAGTTAATGGTTCGAAATAATAGAAGCACACTGACCCCGTTTTTTTTTCGGGTGTTTGTATTTTGTGTTGGAATATTTATATTATTACGTCATATCCGACAAGACCCCGTAACAAAGAGGCGCCGCCTTGTTTTTTTTGCCGATCGTAAAATGTATCGGCGTCTCAGGCAAAAAGGACAGGGTGGGCAAGCTGCGGTGAGGAGATAATTAGGGTATTATTATGCGATGTTTTTGGGGGTTTACGATGAGAGAGTGAAGACGTAGTTGTCGAACGGAGAGGATTAAACTCGATTCTGCTTCATTACGTGGTTTTATTTTTGATGATCCTTACAAAGCAGCGGTGGGATTTTACTAAAATCACTTACAATCGTTTTTTTTTTTCTCTTCTCGGACAAGTTAAAATTATTGTACGTCATGGGAAGATTTAAATCGAAAACAGTTACAAGTGAAAAGCGTAATAAACGGAAAGAACGTTCATCCTCGTCTTCGGGAAGTGATAGTGACAGTTCGAATTCGAGTTATAGCTCTTCCGATAATAGCTCGAGGAGAAAACGGACAATAAAACGTTTGAGAAAAGAATTAAATGATTTAAAAAGGCGTAAGCCGGTCTTTCGCGCGGGAGACGAACTTTTAGTGCCAAAATTTGACCCAAGTCGGGATGACGTGATGGTGGATAATTGGTTGAGTAAAGTGGATAGTTTGGCAGAACGTTATCAGTGGGACGATGATACTATTCTTCGAATAATTTCCGGACGATTACGAGGTAATGCTCGTCAATGGTACGACGAGAACGTGGAGTATGACTCAAGCTGGATTGAAATTAAAACATCAATGAGCCTCTATTTCCGTAAGTCTGTTCCATTTTCCAAGTTACTAAAGGACGCTGCTAATTACGAAACTAAGCCGGGACAAAACCTAGGAGATTATTGTTTTAAAAAAATGTCTTAAATTAAGGGCACTTAACATAAATATACCCGACGTTTATTTGATTGATGCAGTAATCGGCGGTATTAAAGACGATAATATATCGCGAACTGTTAGAGCCGCACAGCATGAGAATGCTAATGCACTTTATGCGTATCTAAACACCGTGGGTAACATGCCTACGGAAATTTGTAGTTTTCGTCAGAATAACACTAAATTCAAACGTCTGCCTTGGACTGGCTTCAATCGAGGAAATTCGAATAATAAAGAATTTTCTAGAAAATCTGAGTCCCGCCCAACGTGTTACAATTGTGGTATTCCGGGTCACATTTCAGTTAACTGCAAAAAACCACGTCTTGAATGTAATAATTGCAAAAAACTAGGTCACACTAAAGAAAAGTGTCCCTTTTTACAAAAGGAAATACAGCACGTTAATCTGTTAGCAAAGGAAAAGTTTCCTAATATATTCTTACAGCCCGCCCGAATTTTTGGCAAAAAAATAAAATGTTTAATAGATTCGGGCAGTTCAAATACGCTAATAAAGGAGTCCCTCGTTAAGAGATTTGGATTGCAACGTATTGATTCGGAGAGTATGACTTTGTGTAGTTTTATGGGCACTTCTTTAGATAGTAGGTCCCTTTGTAAAATAACCGCTACTATACAAGGGGTTTCGGCACAAGTAAGTGCCATAATTCTTCCGGACAAATACCTTAAATATGATTTATTAGTTGGTCGGGATTTTATTAACCAAGAACATGTAATCATGATTAAACGTGACGATCGATTAGTTTTATACAGCTTATTCCCCATTACAAGTGTGTCTGTGAGTTTGGTTGAGGTTTATGACACTATGGATTTAAATAGTGTAAATTTGGGCCCTATTTCAGAGGCTGATAAAGTAAAATGTATTTCCTTATTGCATAGTTTTTCGGATTGCATTTCATCTTCCATGGAAAATTTAGGAAATACGAATACGGTAGAGATGGAGATAAAATGTATAGTCGACACACCGGTTGTACGTTATCCTTATCGTATGCCTGAGGTTGAAAGGGGTATTCTCCGAAATATGATTCAAGAACTTTTGGATAATGAAGTCATCCGCGAATCCAATTCTCCGTACTCCAGCCCGATTACACTTGTTAAAAAAAAGGATGGAGGCTATAGAATGTGCGTTGATTTTAGACATCTCAATGCAGTAACCATTAAAAACCGTGGTGTATTGCCACATATCGAAGACCAAATCGACAAATTAGGAGGATTTAAGTATTTCACCAGTTTAGATTTAGCATCCGGTTTTTATCAAGTTCGCATGGCTGCTAATTCCATTGAAAAGACTGCATTTGTAACACCCGATGGCCATTACGAATTTTTAAGGATGCCCTTTGGGTTAGCAAATGCGCCTTCAGTTTTTCAATCATTAATAAACAAGGTTCTGGGACCGTTAAAAGATGAATTTGCCTTCCCCTATATAGATGACATTATAATTCCTTCATTGACGGTTGCGGAGGGACTAGAACGCTTAAAAAAGGTGTTAATCCAACTTCGTGCACATAACCTTACTTTAAAAATCAGTAAGTGCGTATTTCTTGCAACTACTATAGAATATCTTGGGAGAGAAATCAGTGCAGAAGGAGTGAGGCCAGGTAAGAAGAAAATTCAAGCGGTATTGGATATGAATTATCCTTCCAACGTTAAGCAAGTGC